TTCAATACTACGAGAAAACCTACATAAAAAAAAAAGTTACTATGGTTATTATGATTTTGAATAATATTCTGTAATGTGAAAATCGAATAAATTCTTGTTTGATATTTTTCCATGAATCGATAGGTCTGAACACACTCTACAAAAATGTCTTCATTAAATTCCTCTTATAACCCTTTTCTGGGATGAAAAAATTACAAAATAATCACATGTTTTATTTGTTCTATGTGAAAAGCAGAGAATTTTTTATACCAGAAAATATAAAAACATTATTTTATTTTAAATTTTTGTTCCAGAGAGGGATTATAAAAAGTTTTGATACAGACAGTTTTTTGGAGCTTGTTGAGATGTATCGACCTATGTAAAAATACCAAACAAAATCTTACTCAATTTTCGTATTAATACAATCTTAATAAAACTTCTGTAACTGATAACAATCATACCATTTAGTCTTTTTTTGGGTAACTTTTCTCGTAATACTGAAGTTTGTTTTTTTTTCTGTGTTTTCGATTGAAGGATTATTCATTTCAAACATAAGCATACATATAGTACTCCAGCTCCGTTATTTAAAAGTAAAACGAAATTTGAATCTATGTCGTACATTTTTGAAAGGCGAACCGAAATAAAAAAATGATGCGAGACCTTTGACGTCCACTGCGTATAGATAGCTAAAAATCTTTGAGTCATGTGCTGATTAATTCTGTTGAGTAGAACCTGTAAGAGCTTACTTCATTATCTGTTGTAATGGAACTAATTTTATTATTAATTTTTAATTTGTTTAATTCAGAACGGATAAATTGACGTATACGTAAAGCAAAACTACGTCCGATAGATTGACGAAATGATATAACTTTAGTTAAATATCCGAATTCTTTATCATAATAATGTGCTGTAATACAAACAAAATGAATACGACGAGGACTAGACCAAGAGTCCACTGTCAATGCAATATCACTAACAGAAGATAATTCATCAATTAAAGATTTACGACATAAACGATATAAAGTTACTATGCGTTTTCTGATTGTTGTACGATGTGGACCTTTATAATTCGTATCAGGCAAAACAACCTGTAGAAAGTGTTGAAACCCTGCCTTACGAAAATCACCAAAAGGACGAGAGTTTTTTATAACGGCATACATCAGAGTATAATTTAATTTTTTTTTCCAATCACCAGATAAAAGTTGTGGCTTTACTTGTTGTCGTGAATGTTGAGGGTGTCGGTGTGGGTGGGT